TCGTAAGTTATTCATTTCTTCTACATAATTCAAAGACTTCACGTGCACAAGAGGCGTTTACATCAAACTAGCAGAGACTATATCTACATCTGCTCTCTCTAGCTCGACGCTGAAGATAAGGTGGTCGGCTACAAAGGATTACAAACAAGGAAGCCTGGCAACCAACCAACAAAGAAGCTGTCGACCAACAAATATGTAGAGGAAAATTAGGTGGATCAGACACGCTCTGAAGAGACCGTTGAGTGACAACACGCGTCAAGCAGAATCCTGAGGGGAACCCGAATGGGAAACGACGAGTTGGACATGAGTCCAAGTGTAATACAGAAGAGACCGTGTGAAGAAGGGGAAGAAGAAGCGCACTTGTAGTCGTGAAGCCAGCTAAAGAAGACTTCAGAGGAGATGTAATCCAGTTGATGCGTACTGATGAAGAGTCCCAAACTAGGAAGAAACAGCTGTCCAGTACTGCAAGGTTTTCCAGTGGCTCTCTAACTGATGTCAGGTCATGATACAATCCTCCATCTGATCTAGATGTGTTACTGAAAGCCTATTTTCGACTCAGACCCAAGTGGAATAATAATAATAATATAAATAATCCTATGTAATAGTTTAACTGATGAAAATTATAGAATTTAAACTTATACAGGCTTTGTTTGCCCATAACAATTACTTCTAGTCTTTCCGGTATGTGAAGTAATCCAAAGAGACAAAAAGATAAAGACGTGAAAACTTTATAAATATCCATACCACTGGCATTACGAAAGCTATGCAGTTAATAGCCAACTGGTAGCCTATTGATTTGAACAATTCTATGTACATATATTTATCAGTCTAAGGAAAAAACACCAAACCTAAACTAGACAAAAACAAGTAACTATAAGGAATGACATGAATTCTATATTTCTACCATTTGTCCACTTTTTCTCAACCAAATGTCATCGCCATCTGCTTACATCAGTTGTAAGAAAAGACACCGAGAGGTAGAAAGGAAGACGAAGAAGAGAAAAAGACACACCATGCTTAGAAATAAATAATACAGGTTCAGAAAGTCAGAAAAAGACTTCAACAGATGAAGTATGATTATTATTATTATTGTTCCCTTTGATTTCAATTAAAATTTAGGGCTTCAGCAACACATCTCCAGTTTGTTCTATTTTCTGCTGTCCTCCTTAGCTGGGTCCACGATTGCCTATCATCTCTCATCTCCTCCTTGCGCGATCTCCTCCATGTCACCTTTGGGCGACCCAATCGGGTTCCACTCTAGCGATGGCCTGACGTATGATGTCGCCTAACGTCCCTCGATCCATATTCACTACCTTCTGTATATTTTTTGATCAGGGGGTTCTTGGTCGGTTTGTTCCCAGAGTTTCTTGGTGCCAGTTTTTTCAAGCCATTTGATCTTCAGTATGGAGCCAGAGAAGGTAGCTGTTGATAAAAGTCTGCAACAAGTTAGTGGAAATGCTTTACTTGATTTGCTACGTTTCTGAACCATTTAAAAGAATTGACTGATTGACTTAACATTGGTGTTGAAAATCCAAATCTTGTTCTTTATGCTGACTGAGTGCAGAAGATTTCCAAACAGATTTCAGACTGATGAAGGTGTATCTTGTCTTTTCGGTTCTCACTGGCTTTAACAGCCTCATCCGTGTCGCCTGTAGCTGAAACGACTCTACTTACAATAGTGAAAGAAGTGACCTCTTTCAAATGTCTTCAGTTGATGGTGATTGGTGGTGCCTATTGTTGATGTTTGTCGAGTATCTTC